TAAGGTGTACTATAAGTAATAGCTTCATAATCTTCATTTTCCCCTATCTACCAAAATAAAGTGGTGGGGGAAGGTTAGATCTGTTTTTATTTAAATATTAATAACTCTGGGCTGGATGATCGGAATCCAACAAGCGAGTGTTCGTTTAAAAGAGCGTTTCTTACTCTATATTGTACTATATGAACAATAATAATAAGCTTTTGAACCTAGACTCTAGGGGGCGTTGTCTTACAATTTAACAAAAAATTAAATGCAATAGTATATGTAATTTTAGCTCATAGTAAAGAGTAGTAAAAGCTTAAAGAGTCAGCGAAAATCGCATCTTGATATCTTCTTTCAAACCGAAGATATTAGCAAAATTATAATAAATACAAAAAAATCAGCCCTTAATTACCTTATTTTGACAACACGGTATCAGTAGCCCTCTTAATTATGCCCATTCTAACAAAAAAATAAGATAGAAATAGTTAGTTTATTTTAAAATCGACGAAATACCAGAATACCATAATACCCGAGGTATTAATATCTAATAATTAAGATATTAATAACAGTGAACAAGAAACGATGATTCAGTGAAGTCATGGTAGGCTTTGGTAAAAAGTTGTTTTTGACGTAATGGTATAAACGTCAAATTGTTATTAGATCAACATTTTGATAGTCTTTTCAACGTTTTTTTATCTTTTAATTGCATTTTCAAAATGCCTTTATTATTTGAAATATTTGAAGTTGTTGGTATTTTGAAAAAGCAATCAAAAGATAAAAAACGCTGATAAGACTATTAAAATGTTGATGTAATAAAAATTTGACGTTTATACTATTACGCGAAAAGCAACTTTTTTCCAAAGCCATGACTTCACTGAATCATCATTTACTTGTTCACTGTTATTAATGTCTTAATTATTAGATCTGTTATTATGGTATTCTGGTATTTCGTCGATTTTAAAATAAACTAACTATTTCTATCTTATTTTTTTTGTTAGAATGGGCATACTCAAGAGGGCTACTGATACCGTGTTGTAAAAATAAGGTAATTAAGAGCTTATTTTTTGGTATTTATTATAATTTTGCTAATATCTTCGGTTTGAAAGAAGATATCAAGATGCGATTTTCGCTGACTTTTTAAACTTTTACTACTCTTTACTATCAGCTAAAATTACATACACTATTATATTTAATATTTTTGAAAAAAGGTGCAATGTTTGTTAAATTGTAAGACAACGCCCCCTAGCGTCTACGTTCAAAAGCTTATTATTATTGTTTATATGGTACAATACATATACGTATTATTTACAAATATACTCAGGGTTCCCTATTTAACCCCGTGTGCAATTTCTGTGCCGTAAGAAAAAGACAACATAACCCAGCTCCATATTAGAACTGCATAAGTCTATTTCACCCGGATATGGATTGAACTGCGATTGCGCCAAACTCCGATTGTTGTTGATTTTGTTCTGTTTGGATTACTTTTTATTTGTGCGCGTAAAAGAGTGGTTTTGTTTAGTTTATTGTTTCCAACTATTTTTTGATATTTTTCCAACTCCATGATAATGTGTTATAAATAATAAAAATATAAATAAAACTGAAGGTTAGGTGAAATGTCAGTCAACCACTTCCCTTTAACAACATCGACCAATGAAAAGTTCTTCAGGTGAGGCATGCGCAGTTAAATGAATATCCGGGTGAAATAGACTTATGCAGAATTCCATATTGTTCTTTCACTGTTTGGGCTTCACTTTTTGGAGATTAGGATTGGTATATTTGTAAATAATACGTATATGGTACAATATAGGGTAAGAAACGCTCTTTTAAACGAGCCCTCGCTTGTTGGATTCCGATCATCCAGTCCAGAGATATTCATATTTAAATAAAAACAGATCTAACCTCCCACCACTTCATTTTAGCAGATAGGGGAAAATGGTTCTACAAAAAAAGATCCAAAATTTACTGAAGATTATGAAGCTATTATTTATAGTATATCGTGTCTAGGCAAAATTTCTTAAAAATTCCATTTTGTTATTTTCCATAGCAGTTACGCCCTCTAGCGGCCGTCCTACAAAGTTGAAAATAATTTCCAGCAATTTCTCATGGTCTCATTAGTTATTAATATTTTTTTCTGCAAGCTCTACGACTAATACTTTCCGAGATACAGCCGAGAGCTGTTCTTAGTGGGACACCCTGTATATTATTTAAAAATTGAATCACAAATAAAAAACAAGAATAAGGTTTAGGTATACGAACATGATATATCGTTGAAAAGCAATTTTATGAGTATTTTGATTTTTTAACTATTTAATATAAGAGTTTAAAATATGTAACAGATATGAGCAATTTTATAAGAAACAGAAATAAAGAATTTTTTATTTTCTCTATGCAATGAACATTTGTTATTTTACTATTCAAACTTTAAAAATGTTCAATTTTTGATTTTTTCGATGCTTATTTTATTGAAGAGGATGTTTTTTTAATGTTACACATGTTTTATTTTTTATCTTAAAAACTATTGGAGATTTTGAGATATGAAAGTAGTTTTCAAAAATGTAATAATATACTGGTAATACTGGGTGTTCCATTTAAAATATCAAAGATGCTACTACTTTTCAAATGATGTAGCAACATTGTAGGGCTGAAAATATTTTAGATAGATGGAACAGGCGGTTTTTATTTAAAAAACCAAATTTTTCAAAAAGTCCTATCACTTGTTCTAATCTAATCTTCTCTGTCACTAATCTGTTCATAAACGTCTAATCTATAGCAGTAAACACTAGCACAGTTTTTAAGCGATATTCATAAAATATAAATATAACAATATAACGATATATTTAAAATGGATTTAGACAACTGACAACTATGATCTAGTGACCTAACGCCTTGTGTCGTAAATATCGTATAAGTCTATAGCAAATAACAATATAATTATTAATGCATTTTTATAATTGCTTATCTGATTTGGTTTTTGTAAATGTGTTCATAATTTGTATGAGTATAGCGAATGACAGTATTGCACATGCAAATGCGATCTTTGTTACTTTTCGAATAATTTATTAGTAATTTAACCTTGTGGGACTTTGGATAGACGAATATCTAATAAAGAAAGTCAAGGTAGCTTGGCCAAAGCCAACAGTACAGTTATTTGATAATAAATATAGGTATAGTTATAGGTTTAATCACAGTTTTAATCTGTTAGTGGTTCAAATATTTAACTTCAGAATTATTAATATACAGAGTGATCTGAATCATAATCGAAAAACTTCGGTTATATTGTTCGGATATTTGGTATGTTAGTATATGACATAAATTTGGATTTATTGGCGTATTAAATTGTTTTCCGTCACTTCCTGTTTCACCGGAAATGACTACAACTTTTGATTTTTAAATGGCATCCTTGGAATTTTTTTACGTTATTCGATAGAAAATGACACTCTGAATAGCAGGACATATCATATGCGAACTTTTAACGTATTCAATTTAAAAAAAATATCATTTTAAATTTCAATTTAGAGTGCCATGGTCATAAATGTAACGAAAAGCCTTGTCTAGTAAATATTAAATATGATTTCAATGCTTTGCGAAATGAAGAAAATGACGTTATGGATTTGATTTGAAATGGCAGGTGATTGTGCATTTTTTTCGAGTTGTATAATATTGAACTTTTAACTCTGAGCGTGGGGTAAGTAGATAAAGATCTTGTTCCGCGTTCCTGAGTGGATAAGTGTGAAATGGCCTTACTTGAGGAACTGATACATGCTTACGTATTAGTCAAACGAATTCAAATATAAATAAAGAAGGAAAAGTTAAAATTTTTATTTTTTTAAAAAACTCTTGACAATGAGTTCTGCTGTTTAGTCCCAGTGAATATCGAACATGTCTCTTCTGGAGCTTGAAAATGCGGTCAAATTGAGTCGCACAACACGTGCCCCAGAATGGAATGGCATATCTGAGGTGCGACTCAAAAAGTGCATAACAAACAGTTCTAGCCACTGACAAGTTAACCTCCTTAGAAACAGATCTTAATGTAAAACAGGCAGAGCTTAATTTTTTCGACAAAGCGTCGATATGCATATCCCATTTTAGAGAATTGTCTACAACAAGCCCTAAGAATTTTACAGATTTTACGACGTCAATGGTGGTGTTGTTAAGTACCAAAGGGCTGCAGCGAGTTTTTATACGACAAAGCTTTAGTTTTAGAAATGTTGAGACTCAGGAGGTTCAAATCGCACCAAGATTTAATGGTGATTAAGTCATTTGATATAATCCTATGAAGTGCCGTGAGGTCCTTGTTGCTCCAAGTAAAGCTAGTGTCGTCCGCAAAAAGACATATTTTACCACTGATGTTTATGTTAGCAATGTCGTTAATAAAAAGAAGAAACAAAATAGGGCCTAGTACTGAGCCTTGAGGTACTCCACATTCTATTGGCTTGCTAGAAGACAACGGTGTATCCACCCTCACAAATTATTCATAAAGAAACGCTTTTCAAAATATACTAATGACCTGACCCTCGTTCCATTGAAAAAATTGTGATATGATCAAAAATACGATTTGGGCATCTTTTAACCGGCCAGGACAAGACACGAAAAACATTAAACGATGCGATCAAAACTATTTTTCCAAGGCTCCTTGATTAAAAATTAGTGTTTTGAAATTTAGAATACGGAATAATGTAAAAAAATACCAAGGGTGCCAAAAATCAAAAAGTGTAGTCGTTTCCGGTGAAACAAGAAGTGACCGAAAAAAGTAGCATGGTGTTGTGAAAACCGCATCTTTGTACTCATATAATATGAGATACCCTATAAAACACACGAAAATGGGACAACCTGTACGTTTTCAAAATAATGTTCAGATCATAAAAATTTCACTATAACTGTTTACCATTATCAATTTATAAATAGCCCTGTACTCCCTACACACTAAATATACGAAATATCTACTAGGTAAAACTTGTTAAAAAATTTGACACTTTTTACTCGCACGTGAAAGAAGAGATAAGGATTAATGCACTCACCCATCATCTGGATCGCAGTCTCGGAAACCCTTGGCAAATGGATTGCTTGCTATTTTTAGTTGCGTTATCTGGAAATAAAAAAGTGCCTGTTAACGAGGTGCAATAAAAATGTAAAGAGGTGTACTTTCTACTTTAAAGGGAGGCGGGGGGGGGGTTAGTTAGTATCAAGATAACTTTTATAATTTTTTATATAACAAAATTATTACTATTTTTGTTGTTTAATGACTCAACTAAAGAACGCTCCGGATTTTTTATTTGAGCACATACACAATATGTAAGGAGATATACAGGGTATCCCATTTTAGTGTGTTTTGCATTGTCTCTTGATTATGAGTAGAGCTACAAAGATGCGGTTTTCACATCACTACGCTACTGTTTCTCAATGTTTCTGAAATACAGGTGAAATTAAACATGTCGCAACCCTTTTACCGTTTTCACAAACTTTTTTTTTCAAATCTTAGTAGTTTCTTCAAGTTGGGTAAAGGGTATATATGAAATTGGAATGCTTGGGAAATGCTTCTAAATGAACTATTCTTCAAATTATAAGTTCAATCATAAGTAAGAATAAGTAACAATCATTCTTCAAATTATAAGTCGGAGCATCTACGGCAGACAACTGGAAGCTTATATTTTTGCTGGCTTTTCATACACTACCTATAATTTAGGTACAAGATGGATTGAATACTTGCAGTTTTGTTATTAGGTATTTAGTTAGCTAGATTTATAGTGTTCAAAGTTAAAAATAAACACAATTAATATTGTTTGCTATATTATAGACAAGAAAGAAAAAATTACACTAACCTACCCAGAAAGATTGTGTAACCTAGTGAGAAAGTCTTTGATATTAATTTAAGAATGATTTTGATTTAGAAAAGTATAAAAGGGACGACTTTAATCAAATCTTTAAATCATACGAATTACGTTTAAATTAAGTTTATTTATCTGGAATCACGTATTTGTCATTTACATATTTGGAATTATCAATGTGTTAGAAATCGTTCTTCTGTATTCTTCTTGCAAAAGTTTATTTTAGATATACAGGGTATCCCAGAAATAAGTGCAAGTATTTTAACTGGTAGTATAGTTCAACCCCAGAAACACGTCTATGAGGTTTTTTTCGCGAAAAAAAAAATTGAAAATTCCAAATTTTTTTGGATTTTTTTTTAGTTTTTAGTTCAAAAACATAATTTCTTGATAATATGGCAACATAGGTATTATATTAAATTTACAAGAAAGAAAATCCAGAAAAGATCCAGTGGTTCTCAAAATTTTAATAAAAAATATTTTTTTTTGGAACTTTTCAAAGTAAAATAACTCCGTTATTTTGGACTTATTTGAAAAATGATAAAGAGAAAATATTCTTACGTTTTTCGTCGGTTCCGTGTGGATAGAAAGTCACAATTTATTTAAACACAATTTATTTAACACTAATTAACAAACAATAACGATTAAAAAAACTTAAAGAACTATTTATAACTTATTTACAATTTATCTAACTATTTACAGTACGTCTGTCCGTTCTGAGGCTACGGGGTATCCGTGAGAGGGGAAACGATATTCTCTCGATGTTTTTCGTAAAACATTAGACGACGCGTCCCATCAATAAAAATTCGACAAATTTGCAAGTAGCCAATAAAATTAGTGGGCGGAGCGATTTGCGGTGACGTACTTGTCAAGTCGACGTATAAAATATATTGCTGTTTATTTAAATGTTTTTTCCGCATTCCTTTCATAGACACAGATCCAGCAGACGAACTGTATCTAACAGGTATTTATTTTGAATTAGCGCGCGGCGATTGTACGCATCGACCGGTTGTTTTTCTCTGTCCTTCCTCAGGCCTCAGGCGTCGGCTTATATATGAGAGCAACAGACAATCCAGATTTGTCCCGACAATTCTTAGCCGTTCTAGAAGGTCGGTGTCGTCGGCGTATGAATCATAGCCGAGTGGCCAAGCCTAAGGCCGAGTTCACACGGTACGAGTCCGCAACAATATGTTTCTTTTATCGAGATTTACCACCCCTTAAAATACTTGCACTTATTTCTGGGACACCCTGTATAAGTAAAGCTCACTTACCCGGTGGTTCTGGTAGGCAGTGACGGCGGTAAAGGATGTCTCCGAAAAAACAAAAGTCTTGAAATTTTCATTGCAATTTTCTTCATTTGTTTGTTGAGAATTTTTTGGAGGTAAATATACTATATGGAATCTTGGTTGATAACGGTGCATTGAGTTTAATATAATCTGAAAAACGGAACGTATTTCAAGTTTAAAATTCTGATATTTACTATACCAAAGTTTACAGAATAAAATTATACTGTGATATTGCTATAATTGTTATACATCATTGAAGATATTTAAGAAAACTACTTACGTGGCCGTTATCATCTAACTGATTATTGGTGAGTTTCAGTTTATCGAAAGATACAGTCTGTTTCATCCATTGTGCACCAGTTGCCGGACTGTCAGGATGCACATGAATTCTTGGAGGTGAAACTGGATCTGCTTTTCCAGCAACCACCCAACTCGAACTGAAATAATAAACAATTTTCTTGTATTTTATTCCGATTATTTAAATGAATTTTAAGTTTTAATCTTGTTTTATCATTAAGGCAATTAACTATATACCCGGTGCGTCTCAAAAGTGGCCCACCCCTATAACTTTTTTATTTTTCAGATAAAAAATACGAGATTTGATATGTTGGTATATGATATAAATTAGGACTGATTGACGGTCAATTGTTTTCGGTCACATCCTGTTTCACCGGACATTACTACAACTTTTGATTTTTAAATGACACCCTCGGATTTTTTTACTTTATTTGATAGAAAATCACACTCTGAATAGAATGATATATCATATGTCAACTTTTGACATATTTGCATATGATTTATTTGAAATTGTAACAAGTGTGTGGTGCCGAATTATTCATAAAAAAATGATTTTTCAAATATGCTAACGAGCCACCCTTGGAAAATTAACTTAAAAAGTTTTTATGACCAACTGAGCTTTATATTACTTATTTTTGACAGAAATTATTGAAATAAAATTTTCTAAAGAAATATTTATGTCATCCAATAAACATTCTTAATAATAAGACTTTTCGGTCAGGCTTAAATACATTTTCTGATAGTAAAAGCAGTAAAAAGAGTTGCCCAATAATAGATTAACGGCAGTGACATCTGTCGTTTTATTTAAAAAATATATTGTGTTTTGTATCATTTTTTGAATGTCGACGAATAAATGACGCGTTGATGAACATTAGCGTAACTAGCAAGCAATTCATCCATCCGGGGGGGGGCTGGTGTTGAGCACACGGGGGACCTAGGTCTTTTGTTCTTTAAAAAATGAAGACACATTTTTTGAATAAAACTTTTACATGAATTTCTCTATCAATAAATTTCATAGACTTGGTTATCAAACCGTGTTCCTGTAGATTACTTAAATACCTACAAATTTTCTAAAAAAATAAAAATTAACACAATTTTTGAACACAACAAAATAATTTTAACTAAAAAAAACTAGAAAACGTCATTGTCATTTTTACTACATCACAAGCAAATAAAAATTAATACGTAGCCAAGAGTCATAATTCAAGATTTCTCTGGGGGGTGCCCAGCAGTACCTGGGGGGCCCGGCACCCCCGGGCACCACTGTAGTTACGCCAATGTTGATGAATCACATCGATGAACTGCATCAGCGCATAGTGAAAATGGGGCTTAACTCTGTCTTTCGGAATTATAACATTAATCATTAGCGTTTCTGAAGGGATAGTAATTAATAGATAGAGTAAATTGACAAAAATATTGACAAACAATAGAGATGATTAATTTAATTTATTCTTATTATTATAGTTAAAAAATAGCAGGTTTAGTCGTGACTGACTAAGTTAAGAAAAAACTCAAAATTTAAGTGAGGATGCAGTCAGTAATCACCACACAGGATAATAAAACTATGTTTTCAAATTTGTCAAGCTTTCGAGAATTTTATTTCCATCATCAGGACAGTTTCTAAAATGTATAAATAAAAAAGGCATTAATATTTTAAAATTGTATAACAGAAAAAAACAGCTTACGACTGAGTCAATTAGCAAAAAAAACCTCCTTTGCACAAAAAGGCCTTAAAACTAGCATCATATGACATTGGAATACAAGGACATTTCCTTGATAAAATATTAAAATACATATCCAGCGACATTACTTTTTTTTAAATAAAAAACAAACAATTTTCAAAATTTACTAAACTAACTTCTAGATTGTATTTTATTAGCCTGTGTCACAACTGTGTGGTGATTATTGACTGCATTGAGTTTTTTATTATAGTTAAAAATAATAGGAACAATAAATAATACATTTTAATAATATGGTTACCTGTGAAAAGCATATCGATATCGCTTATCGTCAACAGGTACGAAGTCCATCATGAGCATATATTCAGAATGTAAATCTAATCCGCACAGTTTCACTTGAAAGGTGGGAAACATTCTTCTGCCAGCTTTAGTAACGATCATCTCTGTACCCAATGAATGAAACTCATCCCATAAATGTTTCATTTCAAGTATGGCGCCCGCGTTTGATAATGCAGGCGTAAGGGTATTTAGACTGAAATAAAATAATACAAAATGAAGTGACTTCTTTAAAACTTGATACTTATGATTAGTTTTTATTTATAATAATCCTTCAGATAAAATTCCTTTAATTGCAATGCTGTTTTATAGAAGAATAACGCGATCATAAATGACGGGTTCAAACTTAGTAGTTAATACCGTATGATTGAAAAAAAAAACACCTCCACGGTTGGTTTGAAAATGACTATCGATGACAGCCCATCTGTCAATTATACGGGGGGATAATGTTAAAAAAACCGTGGAATAATGTTAAAAAAACGAGGAAGTTAAAAATAATTTTATCATCTAGGTGTATTTCTTCTCGATAATTTGTTGTTTCGTTCATCTCAATAGCTTTATTTTTTTTGGAGATATTCGCTTTTGAAGAGAATATTTTTTCTTAATTTTTACATTAAAACCATGCCTTTGCTTTTGGTCCTGTAACGGTAACGTTACTGTTACTGAAAAATCATATTAGTATTGTTGTCTATTGAAGTTATATCCACTATAGATTATAGATGCAACATGATTGAAGATGATAGCACAGATTAGGTATACTATATGTATATAGATAAAAATCTTGTCCCTAATTCGTGGTACGAAAATTGTATTTTATATGACGATGAGCAAACGAGTAAAGTTTCCTGTGCGTAAAAAACTCGTTTAAACTCGCCTTTAAACAGCGTAATAACTGAGCCGGTCAGGCGCTGTGCAGAATTTTAGTAAACTAGAAACCTAACTAGTGCGCGACTCCGAAAATTGAAACCACGAAAAACAATGCTTTTGACGATAAGTTTATAATCTGCATAATCTGTGATGATAGAGATCAAAATTATGGCGTTGACAGATGTAGATGCGCACGAAGTAGTTCATATACCAGACGTCCAGGAACCTTCGTAGATCTCTGAATTGAGACGATCGACTTATTTAAGATTATCGCTAAGAAACCGTTGTTTGCGAGCTTTAAAAATTTCTTAAGTTTCTTTTATTCATGTAAGCCAACGGACTGTAAGAAGAAGATTAAACAAAGCAAATCTTATGTAAAGAAGGCCTGCCTGAGGACCCCAGCTTACTAGGTCTGTTGACTAGGACCAAGACCAAAAGCAAAGACATTGTTTTAATGTTTAAATTACGAAAAAATAGTAGTGTCGTTTTAAAAAACGCATATCTTCAATAAAAATAAAGCTAATGAGATGAATTAAACAACAAACTATTGAGAAAAGATGTACCTAGGTGACTGCTTTGTTAACATATTCCACAGGATGTTTCAAATTTTTACCAAAATATCAAGATCTTGTTTCCCCTCGTATAATTGACAGATGGAAACTTTCATTTTCAGTTTAGAAAGAGATACTAAAAAGTAATAGCTACATATTGCTTTAAAAATATCATCAAAATCGGCCCACTAGAACAAAATATATTAAACTTTAAAATACATGAAAATTTTAAGGTGCCCGTTTTTCGTGTTGGTGAGTGTATCTTAGCTATAATTATATAGAGTATAACAACAAAGCCGCAACATGTCATTACACATATACTTACTTGTGATTTTTATTATGCGTCGTATTTCTATTATTGTTTTCAGATCTTTCGTTCTCATGTTCTAAAGTTAAGGCGTCAGCTTGGTCTAAGGGTGAGTAAGCTTTTCTGTCTTTTCCTGCACTCTGCAAACAAGCTGAAAGAGATTTTTGTAAAGGTAAATATATAATCTTTTATATGTTTTCTATTTTTAGGGATATTTTTAAGAGCTAGCTTGCATGAAGGGTTTTCGATTGCTCTGGTTTCAACCTTTTTTTTTGGTGATTTTTTTAAGGGGGCAACTAGATCTTGACCGATCATCTGAGTTGAATGGCAGGCTTTATCTGCTGATAATTATTGTTTTATATTATATATAATAAAAAAACCAAAATTTAAGTGGGTATACAATCACCAAATAGGCTAATAAAACTACTTTTTCAAATTTGTCAAGCTTTCGAGAATTTTATTCCTATCATCAGGACAGTTTGAATGATTCAATTAGCAAAAAAATATCCTCTGCACAAAAGGGCCTTAAAACTAGCATCATATGACTAGGAATACAAGGACATTTCCTTTATAAAATATTAAAATACATATCCAACGACATTACTTTTCTTTCAGTCTGTCACGACTAACCTGCTATTTTTTATATACTATAATATATACAGGGTGGTCCGAACTGTATTCCGGGAACTTCGACAGTATATTCTACAGATAAAAATAAGTAAAAAAGTTCGTATAAATTTATGTCCTAAAATGCTTAATTTCAGAGATACAGGGTGTAGAACTTTCAATTTTATTTCGATTTTTCCAAATAATTTCTGAAGTAATGCCAATATTTGGATGAAAATTGGTGTCTGGAAGTTTTTTGACATGCGAAATTTGATTTTAATGTAAATATAGCTCCTATTTGTAGGGGGCACCACCTACATGTATTTTAACTATTTTGAAGGGTAATAACTTTTCGTCCGTACCTGTATAAAACTACCGAGTGAGAAAATATACATCCCCGTCACTTTTTACATAATAAATGTCTCTTGCTAAAAATCACTACGATTAACCGTTCTCAAGATAATTAGAATGGAAATAGTTAATACATATGTCATTATTGACAAAAAATAAACACGTTGAGCAGATAAATTATTTGACTGAAAAGTAATAAATTTGGGAAATTTTTATTTTTTTAAATTAATCATAAATTTTTCTGCAAAAAATGACGATAAAACAGTTTCTGTTGACCTTTTGGCACAAAAACATTTCAAATTTATGATTTCAATCTAATAACTATTTAGTCAACATGTTTAATTATTTATGTCAGTAATGACAGGTACTGATAACTTCGACTCCAAATATCTTGAGAACCACAACTCGTAGCGATTTTTACCAAGAGATCTTTCTTACGTAGAAAATGTCGTAAATGTATATTTTTTTACTGATTAGTTTTATACAGGTACGGACAAAACGTTATTACACTTCAAACCAGTTTAAAAATCTGTAGGTGGCACCCTCTACAAGTAGGAGTCATATTGATATGAAAATCAAATTTCTCATGTCAAAAATTCCCAGACATCAATTTTCATCCAAATATTAACGTTACTTCATAAATTATTTGGAAACAATCGAAATAAAAATGAAACTTCTACACCCTGTATCTCCAAATTAAGCATTTTAGGACACACCTGTATATGAACTTTTTTCCTTATTTTTATCTGCAGAATTTGGTGCCGAAGTTTCCGGAATACAGTTCGGACCACCCTGTATAATATTCGTACAATGCAAAAAGAGTACATCAAAATAATAACCAACACAAAAAAACTCTTGCGGAAGTATACCCGTTTTCATTTATTTATAAAATATTCTAAAATATAGCAAGATATAAAAAGTACTCGGCAATTGGAATGCGTAAACAGACGCGTTTTAGCTTACAGCGTGTTTTGATTGCTCTGGTTAGGTATGTTTTGGTTTGGTTTGTTGGTTCATTTTTGTTTATTTTCGTTTTTTTCCTCTGTACGGTATTAACTACAGTCTAAATTATAGTATCTACTACACACCTACACACATGACTGAAGAATATAAGGACATGTAACGCCCATATACGGGCTGCAGGAGAATTTGTGACCTTAGAGGCCATTCTTTTGATGGCAACGAATGAGTCATCATCTGGTCACCAGCAACAATTTTAGCGATTTTTAATAGTTTGTGTGTAGTGAACTTTGTATACACTTTATTACAATGGTGATTAGTTGTTTAACTTTCAAGCGTAAAAGCACCAGCGATAAGAAAGAGCCAGGAGTTATGTTTTCATAGATAAATAAACAGTCTGCTCCACCTTTTTAGCGTTTTATTAGTTTTCTTATTGAATTCGATAATTATTTTTCTGATATTTTGATGTGTGCTATACGTCGATACTAGTTTTGTACCTTTTGTTAACATTTTAATACGTTTTTTTTTCGTAATTAATTAGTATGATACCACCGTATACACCATAGTCGTAGTCAAAAGATTTATCAAAAAATATAAATATCTCTTCAAACAGCAAGGTTAAAATATGTGCCACGGCACTGTTTGTTGACATCGTCACAATTTGCTCTCGGGTGTTATTTGTCCTTGGATTCTTTAGTCATTGCCTATACAAGAAAATGTTCTTTAAAAACAAGAAAATGTTCATTAATAAATAAATACGTTTAGCAAGATTTCCCGCGGCGCACTTCCTGACTGGTAGACACGAGCAATCGGTGTCACATAGGAGGCATTTTAAATGAGTTTACGAACGTTAACACATTCAATTATCTCCAGTTTATGACTGCACCATTCTTGCATTATCACATATTTTTTTCTAATTTAAGAGTAGCAATATATATTTCCTTAAGAAATTTTTACCAATAACACATTTTCCGACAGCGGACGCCTAATCTGAAGCTAATTGCCGATGCGTCGGCGTCGCTGAGTCTTGCCTCTGCCGGCACCGCGACGCTATCCTTGGCGGACATAAATCAAACGGTCTCATTAGTTAAGCACACAGCGCATTTGTAGCACTCGGTTTGATTTATCTCAGGCGCGAAATATATTTATGGCCGATAAAATTGACGAGAATACGGTTCTGGGTACAGCCTACAAGAAACTGGAAAAAAGAGTGCCTCTGGCGTATATACCGTAAAATCAAGAAGTTTCATGATAAGGGACAACACGATGACAGTTAAAAGATTTGTAAAAAATGGGCAGGGCTTTGTCTCCATATTTAACAAAAAAACATTCGAGTGAAAATATTAAAGCAGAAACTTGATATGCTTTTTCGGAACTCTGGGTTACCCTGTGTATAGTATGGGTTGCATAATATTTTTATGTATAAGCGATACCAATTAAACTTTTAGTTACGTAATCGTGGGCGCGATTTTTAAATTCATTGTTACCAACCACGGACATACTCGGCACCGGTCCGGCCTGACTAACTGGAATTTAAATTTCCCGCTGGGGATTCAGGTGGTAGCTCTGCTATAAAAAATGCCAAGTTGCCACATTTATTTATTTATTTCCTGAAATTGTCATTCGTTTTGACATTGTTCTTTTTAGAACCTCATTTAGTGCGAAGTGTACAAGATAACTTAATAGTCGTTGCAAAAAAACTCATCCCAAATTTATCAGAATATTTGGAACGGAAAAGCGGTAGTAATGACCCTTTATGTCCCTTAAGTGCTGTTAAGGAGGTGAATTTTGTTGATGTAAATAATAACTGTTTATAATATTTATTATTTATTTTTGCTTCCTGAAATATTTTGACTAAAAGAAAATATGTAAAAGTGGGCAACGCTGTGCCAGTCAAGCTTAATCACGCGATTAAAAGTTTATGTTTGATCTATAGCAATAATTCATAAACTTTGAGTTATCATTGTTACATTGATATACAAATAAAATCAGAGAATATTAAATCGATTAATTCTAGTTTTGTAACCTTTTAGGGGGGGGGGGGTCAAAAGTACCGTGAGTTGTTTCGAAAAAAGGATGGTGCGATCAAAGTACGTACAGCTGTGTTCGACTTTGGTTCGACTTAGCGGGGGCACTGCCGATGTCGTGGCCTCAGATAATTAGTGATTTTAAGGTTAATTTTAAATATTGGCCAACAATAACAATAAATTTAGAAAAGCTAAAGAAAGACGCACAATTTTACAACTGCATAAATCATGTAAATGGTTTAACTGCATATTCCTACTGAGTATCCCATTTCGATCGCAAATAAGGATTTTCTAATAAGCAAGAAAATCCTTATTTGCGATACGAGTAAAGATACGAGATACAACATTTATTAGTAAGGTTAGAGCCTCTTTTCACGACCCTGAGCTGCATTTATTTGAAACCAAAGATGCAAACAATAAAATTGTGATATAGTGCTTTAATTTCAAAATAAAACACTAATTCACTACAATATACCAAAACACTTTACTTACAACACTACCATACGTAACTATTAACTAACCATGTTACCATCATCAGCATATCCTTAATTTTCAGTAGTTTTATTCATTTTATGATGATCCATAACATGGTTAGCGAAATGCGAGATCAGTGTTTAAAGTAATGTGTTTTGATATATTGTGATGAGTTGGTGTTTTACTGCTGCGGCAACACTAAAAATTATTTTAAAACCACAACTGTAAGCTCTTTAATTGGCAGGGTTATATTGAAAATGTTGCAGCAGTTCTGATTCTTATCGTTTAATTGGATGGAAGTGACTTACGGATAGTTTGTAAACTTTGATCTATATGCTTTGTCAATATTGTATGTTTTTGAATTTGGTTGCAGAAATAAATGTTATGGCAATAAAAATCGAAATACTCGGTATGGCGATGTGTTCAAATTTCAAATTTGGTTTTAATTTACAAGATCGAGCATGGCCTGTTGCCTAAATATCTTGATGTGTTTGTACTCTATAGAAATGAGTGTCACAATTACATATACAGGGTGATTCTTAAATAAGTGCAAATATTTTCAGGGGTGGTATATTTCGACCCCAGAAACACGTCTATGAGGTTTTTTTCGCCAAAAAAAAATGTTGAAAAATCGTGCATTTTCTTTTAAATTTCGAGCTTTGTCGAAAAAATTGAGCTCTGCCTGTTTTGCATTAAGGTCTGTTTCTAAGGAGCTTAACTTGTCAGTGGCTAG